GATTTGGGATAAAGTTATGTGTGGCTCTACTATCCACCAACATCACAATAAGTTGTTCCCCGATCAATCCCCTCACCTTCATGGTGTGATTCGGGGCAAATCACACCATTGAATTGAGAGATACCTCCACCGAATCCAAATGCAGATGCTCCACCTCCGCTACTTCTTCTTCTGACTCCTCACTCTCGGTATCCTCCTCATGAACTAAAAGAATCTGAAGGGCACGCACCTTGCAACGGTGACCTGGGGCGTATTTCATGTCACAAAGGTAACACAATCCTTTGGCTCTTTTGTCCTGCACTTCTGCATCTGTAAGACGCTTGAAATTACCCCCAGGTCAGGGTTCTGTACTCTTCTCCTTCGATGTCTCTTTCTGAAATGACACTGTCCGGGTCCTCGGTGTCATGGCTGTTACGGTGCTCTTGTAGAATCCCCCAGTGTTGCCCCTTTTGTCGGTCTTCTTTACTTGTTTCTTATCCTCCATCATTAGAGAAAGCTCCATCATTTCCCTCAATCCACTCGGTCTCAAGGGGCAGATGGCTACTCATATGTAGGGCTTTAGACCATTCAAGAAGTGCCATTCCAGTCCTGTGGCAAAAATCTCCCTCAACCTCCCTGATAAGAGCTTGAACTTCTCTCGGTATTCCATAACTATCCCCTCCTGAGTCAGAGGATAGAATTATTTTTATTGGTCACCTCACCGAATGGCCTGAAAAAGTTCTAATAAGCAATCCTTAAACTCCTCCCATGTGCATCGGATACCTTGTCTCCCGGATAAATTGCGTCCATCCACTGAGAACCACGCTAAAGCCTTCCCCTCCAAGCATAATCTCGCTGCCATGAGCTTTTCTTCCTCAGTCAACCCGTCGATTTTTAAAGTATCGCTCCACCTGATACACCCATCCACGTGCATCCTCCCCTTCAAAGATCGACATCTTTAGTTTTCTGACCATTGCATCTTCAACCCAACTTCCTCTCCTTCCGGAAATTCCCCCTGATTCCCTCCTTCCTCCATCATACTCTTTTGTGTCCCTTCTTCCATCCCTTCTCCAATTTTCAACCATCCCTCCATCGGAAGTCTCCACTCCCCCTACCCTCGAAGTACTAGGAGGATGCTCTTGTAGGTAGATGATGTCTTCTTCGTTGTTTTCTTGCTCAATCTCCTCTTTTGACCTGGCCAATAATTCCCTGTTCAACTTTTGGTTATGGTTTGTAACTGGAGCGGTCGACATGACCTTGGATTGCATCTCCATGAGTTTTTTAATCATCTCCCACATTTCTCCTACACCTTCAAATCCATCATTCATTCGATTTTCAATAACATAAAATGTGTCCTCCATGGTCGAGAACCTTTTTTCCATTCCCAATCGGATTTGCTCTAGCTCTCCTTCTAGCACATGAACTTTGTTTGCTATCATCCCATCAAGATCTATGCTCTGATACCAATTTGATACGTTTAAAGCCAAAATCAGCAAACAAACCACACGAAACGGCGACAAATAGATGAAAGAAACACAAACAAGGACTGGTTTTACAACAATCAAAGGAAAACAAACAAGATACATGGTTGATCTACTTTCAAAAGGTATATTGGCTCTCCCACACTTTAGAAGTCGCTAGAAACACCACAAGAAGAAAAGAAAACAACAACACAAAAACATGCATAAAGAAAACAAACCCTAAGTTCTCCCTTTAATAGAATCCTCTCTCAGCATTTCAAATACTTTCCTTCCTATTTTTCCTCCAAACTCCCTAAATTTCTCCTCCTTGCATAAGTGATTATGGCCCTAGTGGACCCCACTCTTCCCTTTCCTCCCTCTGCGGCCCCCCCCATTCGCCCTGCTCCTTCTTGTCACCAAGACCAGCCCGTCTGTAGGATGGTTACGTTACCTTCGGCCAGTCTAGGGAGGACCGGTTCTTGCATATGCGTAACAGAATGTTGGTTGCACGCAAATGCAAGAATTATTAATTAAATTCAGCGTCAAGGTTGAAGGGTTGTTAGCATTGTAACTGCTTAGCAACAATTTTATTGACCATAGTCTATTGTTTCTTCGGATAGTTTCTTCCTGAGATCTATTAAGTTTCACTCAACCATGCCAATTCTTCTTTGCTTTCAATAGATCCTTATCGAGAGCATACTTCTCAGAAATCTTCTCGACAACAATGCAAAACTCAAGGAATTCCTTATAAAATTTTTACTCCATGTGCGTTCTCATCAAGTCATTCGATCTCATGGTCAATATGCCATGATCAATATGCCACTATGTTGATGAGTAAGACAGCTTCTGGAGTGAAATATTTGAACATTGAGAAAACTTGAAAAAAGAAGGAAGTTTAGAATTAACATAACAATGATGAAATACATGATATTCAAGTTTAACGGATGATTATGAGCCAATATGTAGAAAATGAAGTGATACTTAACAATGATAGATTATAAATATATTTGATATATTGTCACACCCAAGTCAACCCTACGAAGTCAACTAGAATTGTAACAGAGAAAAAAAACTAAGTTAGACGCAATTTTCACCGATACTCATCCCGACATGCACTTTCCAAGATCAAGTGTGTAGAGAAGTAGTCCTACTTGAGTTGTCCTCCTTTGTTGCACATTTAGTTGACTTAAGAGGGTTGACTGGGATGTGACAGAAAATTGCATAAAATCAAGGTTAGAATTTCAATCAATAATGGACGCGTAATTGGATTTTTAGACCAAAATAAAAATGAGATTAATGTTTGAATTTTTTTATTACAAAGCTATAATTCGATTCGATTTGAGTAGTTGATCCATAAGAATTGAGAAATAATATATGCATGGTATAATTATTTTATAATAAATTGTATAAAATAAATAAATTGCACAATTATAAATAAACGTGTCTGAGACAATGACATAGATTAAATAGTTAGTCGTCCAAACCAGCTAGTGAATCAAAAATGCAACTTGAAAAACCCTAGTAAAAATGGGACACAAAATCGAGCAAATGAAGAGTCCCAACCTAAAAAATTGCAGGATATTGCCAAGTTAATCTCTCAGGTAGTGCATAAAATGATTTCTTTAGAAAGTCATCTATAAGCAACAAGTCGAGATTTGAATTTGGCACTGAGGCTAATCAACAGCTAAGAATATTTCACCTATTTAAGCAAATAACATTTAAGGGATTCAATGATATGATTGTTACTGAAGATTGATTATTGAAGATGAAAAAAATTTTGGACGACATTAATAAGAGAGTTGTGCAGGTTACTTTATATTAGAATGTGAAGTAGAAAAATAGTTGCGGACACAACACAAAAAAATGGTTGGATTGACACCTCTTGCACTCATTCAATAAATTGACTTTGTAAGAGTATTCAAAGGCTAATTCACTCCACTATCAACTAGCTTAGCATTGCAGGACAAATTCTTCAATTTAACTCACAGGTCCATAACAATTATATAATATGAAGTAGAGTTTATTCCTTTTTTCAGATATGCCCCTCACCATGTCAGAACCCAAGCAGCAAAATACCATAGATTCCTATGAGGCCTCTGAGATCAATTGAGATTAGCCTTAAAATCACTTTCTGTCACACCCTGACCACCTCCCCTCGGATCAACCTATAAGATAATGAAGGAGAACAACTCAATTAGACTCGATTTTTACCGACACTCATGTTGACGCGCACTATATGAATAGAGTAGAAAATTAGTTTTGTGAAATCATTTTAAATAAATTTATACATCTTAAATCATAAAAAATTCATTGATATTAAATATAAACAAAATCTTCCATAAATAATCCTAAAAAAAAATATAAAGTTTCTAAATATAGTTCATCAAAAATCATATATGCAAAGCTTTCGTCCTTATAAAATTTTTTCGATTGTTTGATCTTTATTCCCAACTTTGCTGAAATAAATCAGCTCATTTTTTATTTTAGTTGAATGTTTCAAAAGAAATGAAAAGGAGTTGACCTATTCTAAGCAGAATTGGGAATAAAAGTTAGGCAAATAGAAAAATATTGATAATGGAGAAAACTTTTGAGGTACCTATGATTTTGTATTTAAGTGTATTTAGCAGCTTCATATTTTGTATGAGGAAAATTTATACATGTTTTTTTGTTTACATTTGATATCAATAAATATTTAAGAATTTAAAATGCAAGAGTTTATTTGATGATTTGATAAGAATAATTCTCTACTCAATCCTGATGAGTACACTTCAAGATGAGTGTAGGAGAATATTAAATTTGATGGAGACATTTTCCTCAATTAAACCTCAGGTTGACTTGAAGAGAGGTTGGTTGGGGTGTAACATACATCACATAAAATAATGGGGATGTTGATGATGACATTTCTAGAGTTAGAACATGTTGATTAAGATGTACAATTAACTCAGACCATGCACAATATTATAAAAGGGGAATTATAATCAATGTAATCAATTTTTCTGTGTATTCTCAACAAACAAGCTTAGAAAAGGATTTTTCCCTGATAGAAGTTGAAAAGCAGGCTATAATGCATAAGAAGGGTAAGAGGGAAAAATTAGAAAAATTGATGCAATATGAGCCTTCAAGTAGTCCATAAAAGTCTAGGTGATCATAGGCTAGTTATTAGAAATAAAAAAAAGAAAAAAATAATTGCATGCCTGTCCCATTTTCAAAACTTTTTAAGCTTATCTATGTCTACTTTCTCTGAACATTTTTTTTTTTACTTTGACTAGTTTATTAGATGTTATTTTCACTTTGGATTAACATAGCTTAAATTTTGGAGTTTTATGGATTAGATATTATTATATTGAATTTAAATAATTGTTTTTTTCCTCTTAATATTATTTATATAAATAGAGAACCATGTTGAACATTTAGCTCATTACTTGAGTGAATGAAATTATTTACGACCAATTAAATACTCCCCAAATCAATATTATATATGGAAACAGCTTTAAAAGTTTCTTCTTTGTCATCTCTATCTATCAAGAAGCAAAAGCAAATCACTGAAGGAAGCAACCAAACCTTCGTAGCTGCTCGAACCAATCGTCTGCAAGAGGTGGCGGCGCATGTCGTATGCTCGGGAAGAGACCCTTCGCAAGAATTCCTCAGAACTACTAGGAATGCTACCATCCATTCCCAGTGCCCTCTCCATATCATCTCCAGTTTTGCCCGCTTCCTCCTCTGGGCCCTCCCCCTCCCCACAAGGCATAGGAGAAGGGGAAGAGGATGACGCCATAAGAATCCTGAAACTCCGCCTTCCATTATATTTACAGGCAACAGGACTAACGGCTGGCAAGTCAGTGGCACTGCGGCCCCGGCTCAGGAAAGAGAAATGAACGATTAACTGATTGATGGACTCCACTTATATTTGGGCGACATCGGGGCAGAACTAGGGGCAGTCCGACAAGAGTGGGTGTGTCGCCGCCGCAGCTTCTACTGCGGCTCCCCGCCCAACAACTGTGCCCGCCAAAACACAACGCTTTGAAACAGGGATTGAAAACGGCGGGGTCGATGGCAACGACGTGGTCGCCAGAGCTTCCATCGCCGTCCCGATCGTCACGACCTCCTAATTTTCCCCACCAAGACACAATTAAAACGGTTAAGGGCTAGGGCAGGGTGCAAGGAATGAAGGGGGGACTGGGAGGAAACGGGTAACTCAAACCCGATGGGACACCGCTGCACCACCCTGCTCAGAGAGGACAACTCCCGGAAGGCAAGGAAATGAAACGTAGACGGATTGAAGAATTCTTAGCTGTTTTTCTAATATAAAGTAACCTGCACAACTCGACTTTTTTTAGGAATCCCCTCATTCTTTTATTAACAATCATATTCGCTTTATCATTTAGCCATAAGACATAAGACAATAATGATTTGAAATAGGGCTGTCAAAACGGCTCGTTGTTTGCAAACAACTCATGTTCGGCTAGTTAAGAAACTCGTGTTCGGCTCGTTAATTTTGTTCGATAAATTAACGAGCCGAACACAAACTAAGCTGTGTTCATTCGTGTTCGGCTCGTTTTAGCTCGAAATACTACTCATCAAGTATGTATATATATATATATATCAAATAGTATTTAAAAAAAATCTAATTGACTACAAGACTACAAAGATTTACAATCAATTAAAATATTGATTAAGA